ACTAAGATCTGATTTTAATGAGATTGAAGGTAAACATATCGCACACGACTGACTGGAACGTACACTCCAGAACATGTGTCGTACTTCATGACATTACGCCAGAAACGTCAAATTACAATAAACACTTATGATTTTACTTACTGAAATCTACAAGTGTCGTTGGATCACGTTCTGCTTATCTAATAACCTTGACGTCACGTGGAGGGTTTCAAACTGACATCACTCTACATATAGATATACACGTCATTGATAACTTATGCTAAGATACCATTTACATGACCTATAACTGTATCACTCTGTGGAGGTCTTACTGAAGCATGCGAATACCCGATATGCATATGTTTCAAATAATATTTCAGAAGAATTATACCTTGTCATTTATCTTGGAGGCAAGCTGGCTGTAACATTTACCTGCTTTATAAAAAAAGAACCCTTGATGGCGTACTTGACGGTAACGTTTTTTTCTGCGAAATTCTATTTAAATATCATAAAAGTTAAATCTAGTGCATTTGTAATATACAACACATATTACAAAATTACATATTCATATAACAAATTGTATTTGGGATAACACTTTCTTAGTAAAGGAGAGATTCTCGTCCTTTTCTTAGTTGAGTGTTATCCCAGATATAACGTTTGTTACATTTGACCACTTTCTAAATGGCATTGTGTACTCATACATATTCATAATTGAAATACAAATTCTGTTAACGTGCTGCGGTATCTTGGATGGCTATTCATCTTATTGTCGCTTCTTCAGTATTTTTACCTGTCAATTATCTTGAATGATTTTAATTCGTTTTCTTTTCCATTTCAGTTCACAAATACCATTTTTATATGCATTGACAATCACAATCTCAATCTCAGTGACAAGAGAAACAAAGGCAAATTTAAAACCTGGTTTCCTTAGAGTACGTAGTTACATACGCTAAAGCAGTAATGTTTTTAGTTGTAAAACACCTTGTACAATTGACTACAGAAACACAATGAGCGCTTGACCGGCCAAGCAGAGTAGTGCTTTCTGTAACCAGCTGTTTCCTGCCTAGCCAAGACACAGTTGAACCCGCGGGGAGGATTTCCTGCCTCTATGTCCTCGCTATGAGCTCATGTTCATGAGGCAAAGATCATTAGCAGCACGCCTGGTTCACCCAAGAAGGCCAAGTATATATATAATAAAACAGCCACACAACCGCACATTACCACACAAAAGGCATTTTTTCTGGTTTTTTTACCTGCTTATCAAGCTAAATTGTGATAGTGAAGCAACATTGTTACACCAAAAACCCAAACATTTAATACCTATACACACTATTTCCATGTACCCCTGCTATTATAACGTTAGGTCTCTCTCTCTCTCTCTCTCTCTCTCTCTCTCTCTCTCTCTCTCTCTCTCTCTAGCAACCCATGCTTGCCATTAAAGGCGACTATGCTTGTCGTAAGAGGCGACTAACGGGATCGGGTGGTCAGGCTCACTGAATGGTTGAAATTCTTTTAATCACTTGAAAATATACGTTTCTTTTATCGTGACAGCGATATCCGTCACTAATAAAAGAACGATATAATCGCTTCACTGAAACCATTGGTATGAACTGACAGTTCAGAGTTCGCGTTTGACAAAGTTGATACTACAGCGAAACACACAGCTTTGCACTTAACCACCAGTCCGTTATTATATATCACAGTCGCCGAGTAAGTATTAACTGTTTCACAAAGCCATGTCTTTTGTCGCCTTGTCCACGCCACAACGCCCTGAATAAACTCAATTAACGGACCTGGGGCCGATCATTCCCAATGTTATGTCGGTGATGGATTCCAGAATGTTTGTCATTCAGAGGACTTACTCCTCGCATGACTGTACTAATTTCCTAATGTACTTTTGTTCGAGTTGAGCGCTGAAGTGTTTTGTTTACATTCTCGTGTTAATTCTCACTTCGATACTAAATGTAGAGTTTCTTTGTCATATTTCATTTAACCCTGCAGTCGCGCCTTTGCTGCTAACAGCATTGAAGAACTCGACAGATTTACCGTTACTTATAGGTACAGGTGAACACACAGGCGGGTAGCATACACGATGTACTCCTATATACTGCACACTATCTATCCATACCATTCAGATGACAGCAGTTTCTCCCTCATATCACACAGTTTTAAATCGATATCCTACAAGAAAATAGAAATGCCTATTAGGGATACATACGTTTAGTAATTATGCAAAACACATACTTCCATTGAATCAATTAAATTCCATTACACGAATCACGTAGTTTGTTCTTGAATGTAAAACAATGATCTGAATTGTTAAATAACATCAAACACTTCATCGAAAAAGAACATTATTAATTAAATGAGAACTAAACAAGCATGTGTGTTTACATGATCAGCACCCTTCTTCTATATAATCGTGAACTGCAGCACAGAACGATTCAAGAGCTAAACATGACACCCTAATAGAACACCCTATAGATCGATGAATGGCATTTCAATGTAGTTTGTCAGCAACCCATTCTTGCCGTAAAAGTCGAGTATGCTTGTCGTAAGAGGCGACTGACGGGGTCGGGTGGTCAGGCTCGCTGACTTGGTTGATGCATGTCATCGTATCCCAATTGCATGGATTGATGCTCATGATGTCAATCACTGGATTGTCTGGTTCAGACTCGATTATTTATAGACCGCCGTCATTTTGCTGGAATATTGCTGAGTGCGGCGTTAAACAAGAAACAAACAAATAACGCTAAGTGTGGTTAGCTCAGTTCACAACAGTGGAAATGACCAGTACGTTTATACTGACACTGATCAGCAAGCAACGGTATATCGGGGAAAAAACCGTTTTATTACATATTTTAACCAAAAAAACCACAGGAATATATTTTCTAAAATATATAGTCACACTGTTCAGAAACACCGTGGTTGTGTACCTGGACAGAAGGGTTGACATGGATGAGAGCCTTCTTGTCTCTCGGTGGCTGTATCATTGATAGATACGGTCGGGCCTCTGGCTGCTCGGCTATTACCGTGAAACAGAACAGGCCAGATGTTGCAGATCCATGTACCCAGACTAGCCTGGAGGAAGCATGATGGAAACCCCGGTCGGAGGGAGGGGTGTGTTTGTGTCTGTGTCTGTGTATATAGTAGTTGTAGTAACTGTAGTATCGAACAGCTGGAGTACAATTACATTACAGTAGTAGTAGTAGTAGTAGTAGTAGTAGTAGTAGTAGTGAGGAGGTACAATCAAAGTCTATCTAAATCTATAGTAGTTGTAGTAACTGTAGTATCGAACAGTTGGAGTACAATTACAGTAGTAGTAGTAGTAGTAGTAGTAGTAGTAGAAGATGGATGAGGTACAATCAAAGTCAACATAGCGTATTTGTATAAAGGCTTCCGGTCCATATATAAAAAATAAGTATGAATAAACTAAAAACAAGAAAGTTGTAGTTTTGTTTCTAGAAACAGTAAATTAAAAGCAGATGTGTTCTCAGAGGTTAATAGATTCAGCAGAATACACCCATGTAGCTTGTATCATTACGAGTTTGAAATATGATACATTACCGTTATGAAGTTAAATAAATATCAGATAAAGCAGGGTTTGTTTGTACAGTATGAGGACGTATCGGAGTGGTCGGGGATGTGGACAAGGAAGAGGTGGAGAGGGCGAGGGAGAGGGGGCGGGGAGGGGGGGGGGGGGGGGGGGGGGGGGGGACTGTGAAAGTAGAGAGTAACACCAGACCCCAGTCGCGTGCCAGCCCCTGTGCCCGACAGGGGGTCTTGTTTCCCATTCAGACAACATAAACACGCGGATGTAGGGGGAGATGTAGAGATAGGGGAACATCTTGAGGCTGATTGTTTTAACTGACATTCCGACAGCTCATACACGACGGAAGAGCCTCTCTATTAGCAGCAAACCTCAAACATGGCGACTGGGGATTGGCAACAAAGTTTTACATGTACTTCAACAAAACAGTAGCATCTTTTAAAGAAAATGTTGTTGAAAATATTCGCACAAATGTACACCAGTCACGAATCGTAAACTTGAAACACAATGACCATGAAAATAAATAGTTTTGAACAGTAAATACCTGATATTATGTCGAGAGTGTTAGTACGATGTGGCAGTTCGTGCAGCCACTGTTTACGAATTGTTGTCGGTATTCCTATAGGAAACACAAGCTCTGTGTGGATTTATTGAATCGTAACAAATATTAGCCTAAGTTTCCTGTGCAATTTGCTAAATGAATCACACGAACAAAGCCTTGTATTAGCGATGTGGGCCGTGCAAATATTTCTACTTTCAAATTGTAAATAAAATGTACACGGAAATGATGTTAATAACGATAGGTTATAAACCCCCGGTAGAAATGCTTGGGAGAACGCGACATATATACGTACATGGTATTAATTAATATCACGGCATATGAGATCGGGATCATGCGTCTATTTCCCCCGTCGGATATTGTATGGCATGGAAACAATGCATTTTAACCTCCAGCTCATGAAATAGGTTTAGTAAACGACACATTATATGTAAATATTATCAACAGGGCAGTGTAACGGTACCCTGCCCGACACAATCAACGCTGATGACGCATGTTGTTCATCAGATGTTTATAGATTCGGAATGTATGAACATATATTTTCGTTTCTGTTTCGGAACAATTGAACGCAAAATGTATGCCACCTATAGTCCTGTATCAAGGAAATGCTGAAATTGGGCTTACCCTGGGCGAAACTACCACAGTAAGTTGATAATCGATGGGTGTTGTCGGGTGATAACGGATACTATTTCTATGGGTATAGATCGACCTGTAATATAAATAGCCACACCTGCCCTCTTGGCGATGAGGAAAATTGATTTTATCATTCATAACGAAAATATTGCACGTGACATGTTGAAAAATGTGTATTCAAGATAAATAAAATGGAGAGACTTGATCCGACATTTTGTTTTAGGAAATATTTTTGGTACTAGAATGTTGAAACAAACGAAATAATCCATTCGTACCTACCTGTAAACTAGGAAATCCGTTTTGTTGAGTAAGGAAAATTATGAAGAATGTGCTGAAATCGTGGCTAGTTAATGTTATCCAGTGTAGACGATAGGAACACAGACAAAGATGACTGTCGGGTTGTGCTTTATGATAATGCTCAACGCTGCTTGTCGGTGATTGGTTGCGTCCGTCACGTGGTACTGTATAATTGATATTATTCTGCAATGTGTTCCCCGAAAGCTGTGTAGATTTCACCTCTCGGCTCAACAGCTGATCAGTCAATTCTTGACATGCACAAGTTTCACGTGCTTAATTTCTTGCATAGCTCGCGGTTCATTTACGCCTCAAATTGAGTCATTAGCAGAGCGGTTTCTGGAAACTGTAATTTATCTATGTACCCACTTAATGCACACGCGTGTGTACTAATAAAATCATAAACATATGTGTCGAACGCTGGGAGCTATTGCGTGAAACAGTTAGAACCACACACGTTGTGTAAAACTTCCCTTTTTATACGTACTTAACAGACACAATCACCGGATAGGCTAATTGCAATGGAGAGATTGAAGGATGTAAGCCTTTCTGGCCACTGGAAAAGTCAAAGTTTAATTTTGAAAATAGACTTTAAAAATATATCTATTTAAAGTCATGTTTAAAATATGTTTATATGTCTGACAACTTGCACTTTTTCTTTCTTACACTTGGAAGACAGATTTTTGAATTTATGACATTATCAAATACCGAAGAAGTGTTAAACTGCGTGAATAATTGCAAATATGTCAAACGTCAAGAGAAACTGTTAGCACAATATGTTTTTACTGTCAAGTACCTACAATACCCCTTTGAGGCAACATTTAGACGAACCACTACATTTGATGAGGTGAGAAGTCTTGAGCATGTGCGCGTTTAAAAGAACCACCACTTATTATCATTCACATAATCTGAGGCCCACGTGCACAAAGCGATCTTAGTGCTGTCCCTATTGTCACTCTCATACTGAACGTACAATAGTGGCAGAGCTGCGATCACTCTGTTAACATGGGCATTCGTGTGTAACCTTTTATGTGCGATTATTGATAATCTCTTAAATTATGCAGAATTATGGACTTAAAATGGGTCCCTATCATACATCGTCATTTTATAAGAGGAACTTACCTGTTATTAGTTAAAGGGTGTTAAGGGAATTTGAGAACACATTCGGGGAGATCGGGTTCAAGTGAAAACATGTATTTGTATCTGGTCATTAAGCTTTCCTAGCATGTCTATCTTACAGTTTTTGAGTTGCTAGCCTGTGTTAATAATTCAGTTTTATGATGACATGTCCATATAAAAAAAACAACTAATTTTTCAGAGTGATATTTATAATTAGAAACAGCCAGTTCGTAAACAACCAAATGCATGTTAATTCAATGGACTGCTGCAAGTCCCCCTACCGATAAAGATTTATGGCTGTAACTAAAGCCGTTAGAGTTATCTACCTTGGCAATGCTGTCTCGAAGCGGCCCGTGTACTCCGTTTGTCCCTGCAAGGGGCGGACAGGTCGCGTCGACAAAGTGTGAAAATGTACTTGGTATTTATTGTGAACTGTAGCAAACAATTCCAATGTGCCCTGATTCGTGTTCAAGGTGAGCTGTGATGTGACAGTAAGGATTAACTGTAATGGCATTAACTTGTTGATGGCAAACTGTGAATTGTTTTATTTGTCTATAGTGAACAGAAAATTGTTTGATGTGTTGAAAGTGAGCTGTGGGTTTGTCTAGTCTCGTTACGCAGATTACAGGATTTTGACTCTCCCCAAACGGGTGAAACCCATTTTAGGCATCTCTCGCAATTTTAGTGTTGGAATATTGCAGTATGACAAGATTCTTCTTCTTTTATTGTTTACACACGTTCTATTTACATATCCGAACCCGAGTGTTTGCTTTGCAGGTGAATTTGTTAAAATATAGGACATCGAGACATCTTCGTGGACTACTGTAAGTTGGACTATTTTAACAAACAACCACCAGATCTTTATGACATTCGTCGTTCACCGTATTGATTGAAACAATGGCACCGTAGACAGTCTGATTCCATGTTTGACCGAATAAGAAACGGGTTCACTTGAGCAATCTGTATCCAAGAGCTTTCCATGTCTCACAGCGTGATTATGAAACGTGATTATAAAAGCATAGCGAAATGCGGGTCCTTGGACCACCCGTAACTAAACGCGACAATGTCCCTTCTACGATTCCATACAATACGTCATCGACAGGGGTTGATTGCTCGGTCCGCGTCATCGGGTTACGTGAGTGAGTATGTGAGTTGTGTTTAACGCCGCTTTTAACAGTGTTCCAGTTATATCACGGCGTGTCAGCTTAAAGTGGGAGGAAAGCCCGAGGTAATGCAGGTTTCAGACGTTTACCACTTCGGTGAAACCCACGAGCACGGGTATGGTGCTGACAAACCTAGAAACATAATCGGGGCGAACCGGGATTCGAACCCACAATCATAGGTTTCTGGCGTGCCCAAGGGACGCAACTCTGCACAGCGAATCGCGGCGCCTTAGACAACTGGGCCACCCGTGCCCCTCAGAATATGTTAAGGGGTGACCAATGGGAGCATTTGTAATAGTGTTATGACGGTAACGCGAGTGATTGACATCATGAGCAGCGATTCACGCAATTGGGATACGATGACATGCATCAACTAAGTCAGCGAGCCTGACCACCCGATCCCGTTAGTCGCGTAGAAGTGTCGTTCTGTATGTATACACAGAGGCCATATATGGTCTCTGGAATACTTGACCTGCGAAATAGCACGTATTCCATAAGGAGGAGCTGGTGCAACCTCATACCCAACTCCCACTACGTCGGCTCTCACTGACACCGACATCTACATCTGTAGGGACCTCATTCCATGCTGTACAGCGTATAGTTATTACATATGTAAAACACCAATGTACATTCAAGTTGCATTCTCAGTATGGAGACACTTGACTACCATTATGGGGTACTGGGAATACGATTATCTTACCTTTCTCATAATGTAGATTCCCTAGCATTGCTCAACACGGCGACGTATCCCACCATCAGTCGTAAATGTATGGACATATTCTGAAAATTCTTTGTTTCTTCAAAGTTGATGGATTTTGCATCAAGCCGAAAAGAAAAGTGGTAAATCAAAAGTATTTTACATTTCATATGTCGTATTTCGCTACCTTCTTGGAAGTAAAGTTCTGTATGATTACATGGCCTGCGAAATAGCACTCGTTCCGAATGGGGGAGCCTGTGAAAACCCTATACCCAACTCCCACTAAGTCGGCTCTCACTGACACCGACATCGACACCGACACCGACATCGACATCTGTATGTACATGCTGTAAAGCGTATAATTATTACTTATGTAAAAAAAACAATGTACATTCAAGTTGCTTTCTCAGCATGGATACACTTGACTAACATTAATCATGGGGTACTGGGAACTTATCCTGTCTCAACTGCGATCGCTTCGTCCGCAATATGAGCATGCACAAAGAACCATTTGTTAGATCTACAGATTTTCAAAACTTGCACAATCATCACAAATAAAATCCTATTTGAAAGTTACCAACATTTTACTTTGAGAGCAGTGATTATACCAAACGTATGTTATAAAAGTGTTGTGTTTTCAGCCTATCTTAAATCAAGTCCAAATGGAAAGTAAGTTAAACTTTACTTCCAAATCAGGGGATCACGCTAAGCTTATGTTATGTAAGCGTGGTGTTAATGGCCGCTCACACCGAGGCTCCCAGCCATTTGCCCAGCGTCCATAATGACCACATTGTTCGCTGCCTGTGCGCAGAACCTGTTTAAGTATGATGTGGGGTGGATTCTACTTGCTTCAGAGGATTGTTAAGACACAACCCAGTTCCCATTACTCGTTATTATGTGAAACAACACGATGCACGTGTGAATTAGTCTGATAAGAAGTCCGCCCTGCTTATAATCATATGTGTAAGTGTACTACAGACCCTATCATTAGCCAAATACAACATGGCTGAGTGAATGGAGGGGGGTCCGGGCTGCTGGGATAGTCAGTCTAGCAGCTTGTAGATTAGGGTCAGTGGTTTTGTAACAAGTAGGGATCGTTTAGCCGTTCTCGGCGGTTATGTAAGGCGGTGGATGGGGCGTTATAATCAACGGATAATTTACTGCACATTTAAGCTTTGTCGAATACACACTATTGTGTAGATAAGGTATGATGTATACCGTACGTACAGCCCCAGGTTATATATGCATCAATAAATACAGGTAGCGATATGTAACAAGCAGTATTGTGTTGATATTCTTTATTCATTTCGCACTGTAGGTCATCGGCCCCTTGTGCATGTAGAAAGTCAGGCCCACAATGGACATTTAGAAGATTCTAATATTCATGGCATGGAATATATATAATGAGAGGTTTTTCATGGTTTCAACATCACATGATGACAACAAAATGTTAAATTTATGTACTGTAGGCTGGACAAAATATTTTCCGGGAATATACATGTATTTATTTGTGAGATTGTTATGCTTTACAAATTAACAGAAAATGGTATTCGTTTTCGATAGGACCAATGTTACAGAGGCTGCTCACTCTTTGGTCTCGGGTGTCATAAGGTAGACTGGTTAAGCCTGGGACATTCTGATACGTGTATTTGTAACATCTGTAATTCCGGAGAAGACATGCCCTAGTTCTACATGCTAGTATACTGCTGCTTCTGTTAATATTTCGTCTCCTTAAACCGATCTGTAGTTGTTGCATCAATTGGGTTATTACATTTTTCATTGGGTAACCAATATTTTTTCACTCATCTATTCACCACTCTATTGGGTTTTTCACAAAATTAGTGAACATTTTAAGATTTAAAAAAAATGAATAATGTTTTAGATGTATGTAACTGTTCTAAATATATATGCTTGACTCGGAAAGTAAATTAGCTCGAAATTGTGTTTCGGAAATTAACTCCTTTGCACGCAGGCTGAAAAAAGATTCATTGGGTATATACATTGGGTATTATTTTTATAACTTTGAGTTTTACATTTAATGCATGCGTTTCTGTAGGCATGTTAATTGAAAGTAATTGGGTTTTAAATATTTTTTATATTTTTTTTCGGGGATGGGGTGGTTTGGGGCAGGTATTTTACGCAAATACGCT